CCCCAAAACCCCAAAACCCCAAAACCCCAAAACCCCAAAACCCCTAGTTGGGGAGAACCTATTGAATTAATAAGAAGAATGTAGTTATTATGAAAAAAAGTTTGGAGATTTTTGAGGTTTATGTTTTTTGATAGATCTAGATCTTTTAGTTCATGCTAAACTTTGCAAACCCAAGTACTTATAATTAATCAGTTTTAAATTAAGTAAATCATACTGAGAAAATAGTAACAAAGAGAAATAGTATCTACCGACTGACTCCTAATCAGCGGAGCGAAGTTAGCCATAAAATAGTAATGGGAAAGATAGTATGGAAGCAAAGAATTTAGACAAATAACATATTTTCCTAGATATAATAAACATTATAAAACTTGGCCTATCAGGTTGTCATTTATCCCATTCTAAAAACTAATTTGGCGCGTCTATATATTTTCAGCTGGAAATAATTTTGAATTTACATGAAGTTATTACCCACCTGTTATAGGAGGAATATTTATCCTCAATACTTCTGGTCTTTTGTCAGAGCGACAATAGTCAAACTTGGATTTCGAAATAGTATATTGCCAAAAATAACAAAAATTGAGGAGAATAGTTGATATCTATGTATACCCCTGTACTTAAGCTTTGCATAAGGTTTTTGCTTTGTAAGAGGAGTTATAAATTCTTGAGGAAAGATTTTGACTTCACTAAAGTATATTAGCTCTTTCAAAAACTTGCTAATTTCCTGCAAGATCCTATTTAATACTCCTCTTACATGAGGCTCTGCATCCAACATTCTATTCCCAACCACTCCAATTTCCCTCCCCTTACACTCACAATTCCAAAATCATTAACCCAAGTCACCTTCTGGCACCTAACCACTACAGATCTCCCCATCTTCCCTAAAGCCCCCATCTAACCCTAACTCTTGCCTAATCCTCCAATTCTCCCCAGCCCCAACAAAATTATCTACATAATATCCCCAAAACCTCTACTTCCACAACCCCTGTCACTAAGCTGAGCTGTTGCTACTCCTTCAGTTTAAATTCTGAAGTAACTCTTTAAGCCCAAGTGACTGTATAGCCATATTTTAAGGCCTGTTAGAGCCGGTTTGTTCAGTTGTAGATGGCTAAGAGGTTCTTTGTAGGCTCGTGGGGGATTAGAGGAGTGTAGGGGAGATTTTCCAATTAGACCTTCATAATCTGCCAATTGGTATCCCAAGAAGCTTCAAACTAATTACAGATCAACCATGAACATTCTTAGCACCTCTACAAACCTATCTAAAATCTCCAAGAGAAAGTCAAGAACCTCACAATAACCTTCTCCCCCTTCAAAACCCCTCCAATACCACCCTCTTATAACCCACCCTCTTTATCCCAAAATTCCTCTCTTACCCACCCTCTCCTACCCCCACTCTAGCACAACCCCCTCCCCTCTCCCCCTCTATTCCTCGTACAAAAGTCGCCTCCATAGGAGGCTCAAGAAGCTGTCTTTCAGACTATAAAAATAGAAGGGAGGTTCAGACCAAGTGTGGGTAGTGGCCGTTTTGAGGTAGTATGAGAAATTTTAGAGATTGGTCGAAAATTTGGGAGAAAATATGCTGAAGACAGTTTTACAGCAAGTTTTTGGATGCTCAACATTCCTTGGTCAGCGAAGGGCTAGTGAAAAGAGAAGAATTTTAGATAGGGACTTGTTTAATGAAGGGTGAATAACATTGCAATTAGATTTGGCCTCTTGCCAACTGCTATGGCTAGATATCGTCAAACAGGGTCTTCATTAAATGAAACATTTTTGACAAATATGTCTTATTATTACTTCAAGAGGAAGAAATACTTTTATGAAGGTATCTGGGAGATCTAGGCAAGAAAATTTTAGGAATGAGTTGCCTATTTACCTTCTGCTTCCTTTAGGAACGTCAGCAGAAAGCCTACTCCACTCCAGTGGGATGACATTATCTTCACTGTTTAGCGGGGACCTTGGAAGGGGTTGCACACTTCTTAGCAAAAGTTCATCAATATTTTTCTGGAGATTCTGGAGGTTTGTCATTCATTTGTTGATGAAAATCTTTTTGTCCAGAACTTAGTCAGGAGCACCCTCCTGGCTCCCAAATTTATAGGCGAAATTTTGCTGCTCCAACTGCTCCTGTTGGTGCAATTTTAGGCATTATTATTCGCAAGATGAGGTTTGAGGAAATCCGAACTAGTTTTTCATAGGTAGGATTCGCAAATGCATCCAGGAATGTTAAATTTTAATGACCAATAGCGTAACGACTGAAAGGAGTGTCATGAATGTAGGATAAGTATCCTCTTTGCTCTTGTGTTTATTGATGAGTAGGGAGACTTAGCATACCATCACTATCTTCTAACAGTAAGGGCATCTTTACCTGATGTCAGGTAATGATGAAATGGATATTTCACACTACGCAATAATTGATGAAAATTATTGCTGAGATGTAATTATCGCTAAGAAAATGGTCAAATGTAAGCTCCAGAATTTATTTGAATTGTCAAGAGAACCATAAGTGGTGCACCTTGCAACATGAGGTTTTTAGAGTATTAATATTCGCTGCAAAGCTAATTTTGGAGGTATTTCACTAATATTCTTCGAAGTCAAATTGTCAGCATCCATAATTAATTAAATTCAGGAAGTGGTTTATGACCCGGGGTTTTGGGGTTTTGGGGTTTTGGGGTTTTGGGGTTTTGGGGTTTTGGGG